CATTCCCACAATAGAAGAAGAAATAACCAAGTCAACCTACAGATACAAAAAAAGAATCGATACGCACATAAACCCGCTAGCCAACAATAACTACAACCAATATATATTCCCAGAAGGCTCAAAAGAATCCACCCAAGAGACCTAGTTAACTAAAAGTCAATGAAATAAACGACAATAACGACGCTTTCTCACTGGAGAAAACGTCTACGAGCTATCCCCTTCACTTATATAACAATTTACCAAATGTCTAAGGACAAATTGTAAAGATGTATGGAGTTATATAAAAAAAAAAAAAAAAAAAAAAAAAATTTTACACGTAAAGTAAACCAAAATAGTTGTTATATTATGATTTTTTCTGTTTCTTGAACTGCAGTTGTCGAAAAAACCAATGATATCAGCTCAATTTTTTCAGACTTATTATTTATATTTGTAAACTTATTATTTATATTTGTAACTTTTCGAAGCTTAAAAGCAAACGTTTCATAACTTCTGTTAAATTACACTTCTTTCGAAATCTGATAGTTTTTAACAAAGATTCCATACTGAGATAAGCTACAATTTCTTTTAAAAATATTTAAAAATTTTAAGAAACGGTAATAAATGTGCTATTAGTAACTAAAATATTTGATGTCAGGATAACTACAGTCGATTTTCGGTGAAGAAGAATTAAATTCTACACGTAAAGTAAACAAAAATATTTGTAATAGAATGGTTTTTTCACTTACTTTGACTGCAGTTGTCGAAATATCAGTGATATCAGCTCAATTTTTTTGACCTTATAATTACTTTCGTTAGTTTACGCCTAGAAACTTTACAGCAAACGTTCTATAACTTTTGTTAGATAGAATTTCTTTAGAAATCTGATAGATTCTAACAAAGATTTATTCCAGTAAGCAGTAAAAATTTTTTTTAAAATTTGTGAAAAAATTTTACAGACGGTAAAAAATATGCTAATAAAAACTAAAAAGATTGGATGTCAGGTTAACTTTAATCGATTGTTGTAAAACAAGACCTAAATTCTACACGTTACGAAAACCAAAATAGATGTAATAGAATGATTTTTTTACTTTCTTTGACTGCAGTGGTCGGAATATCAGTGATATCAGCTCAATTTTTTCCGACCTTATTTTTATATGCGTTAGTTTACGCTTTAAAGCTAGAATGCAAACGTTTTATAACTTTTATTAGATAGCACTTCTTCAGAATTCTAATAAATTCCACCAAAGATTCAATCCGGAACGCAGCGAATATTTTAAATTTATTGAAAAATGTTCAGAGACAGTACAAAATGTGCTATTAGAACCTAAAAAGATTAAATGTCAAGTTAATTTAAATCGATTTTTGTCGAGAAAGAATGAAATTCTACATGTAACGAAAACTAAAATGTTTGTAATAGAATGGTTTTCTCACTTTCTTGGTCTACTGTGGTCAGAATATCAATGATATCAGCTTAATTTTATCAAGCCTTATATTTTTATTCGTTAGTTACGCTTTAAAGCATAAAAGCAAACGTTTCATAACTTCTGTTTAGAAGCACTTCTTTGGAAATCTGATAGATTCCTACAATGATTTATTCCGGAAAGCAGCTAAGATTTCTTTTTAATTTAGTGTAAAATTTTCAGAGACGGTAAAAAATGTGCTATTAGAAACTAAACAGATTAGATGTCAGGTTAACTACAATCGATTTTTGTCGAAAAAGAAATAAATTCTATACGCAACGAAAAACAAAATAGATGTAATAGAATGATTTTTTTTACTTTCTTTAAATGCAGTGGTCGGAATATCAGTGATATCAGCTAAATTTTTATATGACCTTATATTTATATTTTTAGTTTACGCTTTAAAGCTTGAAAGCAAACATTTAATAACATCTGTTAGAAAGCACTTCTAAAGTAATCTAAAAGATTTCAAAAAAGATTCAATCCGGAAAGCAGCGAAAATTTCTTTTAAATAAAGTAAAAAATTTTTAGAGGCAACAAAAAATGTGTAATTAGAAACTAAACGAATTGAATGTCTGGATATCTACAAACGATTTTCGTCGAAAAAAAATTAAATTCTACACGTAACGAAAAAAAAAATAGTTGTAATGGAATTATTTTGTAACTTTCTTGGACTGCAGTGATCGGATTATAAGGAATATCAGCTCAATTTTTACGTACCTAATATTCAAATTTGTAAGTTTACGCTTTAAAGCCTAAAAGCAAACGTTTCATAACTTTTGTCAGAAAGCACTGTTGTTGCGACCGATGCCTTAATCGGTACTCCAGTCAATTGTAGTGAATCGAAAAATGCCCTTACGGGTGATATCGAGATCCTTTATTAATGGGAAGGAGGATAGGAAAATAAAACACAATAACAAATATATTTAAGCCCAGTCAGTACTAAAAAGTACGCTTTATTTGGCTCGTCAGGGGAAAGCCTTTCGGCATAAAAACCCTGGTTGAAACGTTGACGAAGAATCCGTACAAATCAGGATAATTCTGGCCAAGTACAGGACCGCCTTTGTCCCTTGTCGCTGGCCGAACTTAGATGATGTGATATTGCGCAATACAAATAATTCTCCTCGAAGTAGTTCTCGCAAGTCTCAGCTTTCTAAGATAGATAAATCTCGAGCGATGAATCACGCGT